TTTGTACTATACATCAAGCTATATAAAAAGTAAATGTAATACGAAATATCATTTTTCTCTTTTTGTTAATTAAATTAAGTAGTGCATAATAAAATCTAGCTAAAAGTTGCATAACTTACATGGATTTTTATTTTAAAAATAACATATTATTAATCATAATAAATAACATTGTGTATGGTGCCATCTGTTATGAGATTTTTTTTTGTTATAAAAACTTTTTATATTTTTAATTATTATAAAATGGCGAAAATTTTGGGGTAATGACAAGTTTTTTTATTTTTTTAAATTGCAAGGGCTAATAACGAGTAAAATCTTCATTAAGTTCAATCTCTTGAGATATAACACGTGATACCTCTCTATCGTGCACCGCTCGACCATCCTCCACCAAAATTTAATAGCAACAATGCTTATTACACGCAAGTTACCATGCCAAAATTCCTTTCTTAATCTTTACCCCATGCTATGATAATAAGCGAAATAGACGTCAACACACACAGAATTTTTTCAGTTTCTTTTTAGTTAAATAAATCCAACGTTAATGGTTGAGTATAAGAAAATCTATAGCATATTTAAGGATATTTAATTATTTATTGACTATGGTGATATAATTTTTATTTGCAGCAAATGGTATATATGTTTTATGCAAACGCTAGCTTGTGGCAATATGATTTTTTAAAAACTTAGGTCTATCTAAGAAACTTCTTGCTAACCTACAAAAATGACTAATTAATTGTTCTAATCAATTCACAGTTATTTCTTTGTCCATATAACAGAGTACTAAAATTTCTGGGCTTATACTAAACAAAGTATACATGCTATGAAATCTCTTTCCTCTATTCTTTCATCAGCAAGCGTTTCTAGTATAAAATAAGCTTAGTTTTGCAATGCTGAACTTTATTCGTGATTATATCGTATTATTTGATGTTTACGTAAACATCGATACCCAGTGGCGTAGCGTAGTGGGAGCGGCAGGGGCGGCACTTTTAGGGACGCGGCAAAATTTCACAATAAATAATAATAATACAGTATCTTGTAAAAATTTGAACCATTTCATTTCATATTTTTGTCGCACCTACGATTCGGACCGATTGAAGCACGGAATGATTCGGACCGATTGAAGCACGGACCGATGAGCACGGAATTTTTCATTACTTATTGTGTGACGAAACTGAATTTTAGGCTTTTAATTTGAGATACCTAAATAAGGGGGCGGCTAAATTTTCCTCCGCCTTCGGCGGCTGACACCCACGCTACGCTACTGTCGATACCATACACGCCCATTTAGCATTATTGTTTCTTTAACAATGACATTGAAATACAAATACTGTCGATATAAAAACAAAATATCATATGCCAATAGTGTATACAGGCATCATGATAAGAGGGTCATATGTTTGTGCATAAATTTAAATTTCTAAGTTTATTTTTTAACGATATTTATTATTATTAACTTAATTTGCATTACTTTAAATTATCAATGAACTCTTAGGTTGTTTATTCGTCGCAATTATCTCTATGGTAAATTGTTCTGTAAAATGAGTGTAATGCTAGTTCACTCAAGAACAAAGTAAATCATTTTTTTTCATCAAGGAGCTCGAACTGAAGAACATTCACGGCGAAGGCAATCTACATGGCTCTCGAAAATTAACCGGAAAAATTTCAATACGCATAAAGTGAATGTCAATACACGAGTTTGTCAGAAACATTTCATTTCAGGTAAGCAATAAATCAGATTATTAATCATTTATTGATAACTTTTGCATAAGTATCATAAATTATGTACAATTCGGTTGCATAAATTCTTTTGATAATACCGACAAAATAAGGTTAAATAATTTTAACCGTAGATTTTATTCTGAATAGATAATAATTGTTCTAACTTTATTTTCCATTTTTCAATTTGTGTTCTTAGTGTTTGCTTAAAAATAGACAGTAGAGTTAATATTAAAGTGTTAAGCAAAGATAATCGCTTATGAAGAATTAGAAATGCATTTTGAACTAATTGTCCTACCAGACTAATACAAAAGTGTGTGTATTTTTAAAGATATAAACCAATAATTTCCATTGATCACTTATGAACAGCTAACTTAGTGATCAACATTAACAATTCTTTAACATTTCTTTTTACAATAAATTTTTTTACATTAATAAAAAATAATCATTACATAGCACCCTTCAAATTCCTCCTCACAAATTCTTATTTATTGTTTCTATATAACATACTAAGTTCTTTTTAATATTAATAATTCTATATATATTAATAACAATGATTTAATAGTAAATTCTCATAATAATATATTATTAAAAAAAATTTTATCGCAAAAAAAACCTTTCTCATTGTATGATTAGTTATCACTAGTGTTGTAACGAATAGTGTATTCGGCCTCAGACCGAATACCGAATATTCGGCCAGGAGCGTGGCCGAATATTCGGCTATTCGGCCAAACTATTCGGCTTGATTAACGCACGTACGAAAATTGGCGCGCAAACCGCATTATGGCAAGGATCCTGCTCTCTGTTGGCCCGCTGTCACTACGCTTCGTCAATCGCGTTAATTCTTGGCAGTTGTAGCGGACAGACAAGAGCGTCATGGAAGTATGTGATAAATGATGATATCAAATGTGGATAACAATGAAATGACCTACACGTGTAAATAACGGAAAAAGAACAGAGAAGGACCGCGAAGTAAAAATGTGAAAATAAATATGAAATTGAGTCGATAACATAATCGAACAAGTCGAGGCAGCTTATTGGCACGAAATTCGTGGCCGTCAATGCCAAACAATTGTTGTCATAGTCTTTGGAAAGCTAAATGCTTGTAATGTAAGTCACTTAGCGTGCACGGGCGAAAGCCTGGGGCCGTTCGGGCTATCAAGCTGTCTCGAATCTGTGAAATCATAACTGTGACTTATATCGACGTCCTATCTGTCTCTTTTCTCCGTTATCACCAGGCTGAGTCACGTAATTGTAAAATGGGAACTCTACGACGGAAAAGTGACGAATCGAAAGTATCGTGAGCGCGTATTATGATGTATGCACAGGCATACATGGATTAGAGCGATAGAGGAAAGAGAAAGGGAAGAGCAAAGACGAGCGCTTAAAAAGAAGGATAGGCAGGGTCAGACCCTCAGATGTGCGAGGATTCTCCAACGATAGACGTGTACGTGTGCTGATCTTTGTAATTATAAATTGTGAATACATGTGACTAATATTATTTTCTTTTTTATTTTGTGCATGTTACAAGTTATAAATAAATATAAACAAACAACACTAACTCGATAACATTAAATCTAAATACCAAAATGATTAATTTACTGTTTTTGTTATTTATTTATCCTGTTTTTAAGTATTCGGTATTCGGCCGAATAGTGAAAAATAGGCCGAATACCGAATAGTAACCGAATATTCGTTACATCACTAATAATTAGCCTTTGTTAGAATCTATTTAACTTTAAATCTCACTATAAACCTTAATGATTTACTTAGATTACACAGGCTAGTACATTTGGGTGAGGATAATTTGAAAGCCACAATAATAAACAGTAGCTGTAACAACTTCTAATTCTGCCACAACGGCGAGGTAACGTGGGAGTTTCGTCACGACAAAAGTGAAAATTGAACTGACTATGAGCAAAGCGTTGTGTGCCCTTTAATAAGCAAAGCTTGAATGTGAGACTGTTGTTAAAACACGAGTTCTGTCCTGTTTACGGTTTCAAGAAGACGCGTAAGTGCGATTGCATAATCGTTGGTGTTACACATTTGAAGAAATGTGGACTGTCATGTAACCACACTTCAGCGGTAGAGGCTTAATCGTGAGAAAGAAGTCCGTGTGTTCCGCTGCAATGGTGCGTGGCTCGAGAAAGTTTATGGCGATTAAAGTTGGTTGTTGTTGGTTAAGTTATGGAAACGCAGCACTTGGGCGATCTGCCTAAGGAGGATGCCTTCCGGGAGGTCTTTTTAAGGGAAACTGGCCCCTATTTAGGCGTTACAGACCTGGAAAAAACCCAGAAAACTCCACGTGGCCAGCCCGTCCGAGCGAGGCGAGAACCACGACCGATCTCCCAGTATTCAGGGTACGAAGACCGCTTGGCCACTGATTAAAGTCGGAGATGTATACAGCAGAGTCAACAGTACAATTTGCATTTTTTGTCACTTAAAAGCTACCTGATGAAATTCCTGCCTTACATAGCCATTGTACTGTACCAGAATTTGAAGGTGATATAGCTAGTGTCTATGAAACTTTGATCCGTTTCGGTGGAAATAATTTACCGGTAATTCAATATATTTTATTACTTCTTGTCTCAAAATCTCATGCCTATTTATCAAATATATATCTTGCTTTAAGACCAAAAAATGCGTATTTTCAAATGACACGAAGTTACATATTTAAACGTATTTCACTTAAACGCATATTCTTGTTCAGATTTAGTTTTTTAGACATTGTTAAATATTATTATTGTTGGATGAAACTTAATACAAACTTTAAGTCTGTTTTATTAATCTACATCAGTATTTTTCTATCGCCGGTCCGCAGAAAAATATTTGACTGCATTCAAGCTGGAGCAGTTATGGATAGCATTTAAACAGTAAAGTACCGTACGTACTTTGCTACGTACAATAACTCTAGATAAGCACATGTAAGCGTATAAATAATTCATAGTTGCATATAATTACTCGGGTCACAATTTTACAGTTCAGCGACAAGATTGAAATACAGTCGACCCCCTATAACACTGTTAATTTTTCCGTTTTATATGAATTCCATGTTGTACGAGTCACTTAGATTTTACAAATACGTGTGCCGTTCACAGCCCGGCACATGTATTTGTAAAATCTAAGTGACTCGTACAACATGGAATTCATATAAAACGGAAAAATCAACAGTGTTATGAGGGGGTCAACTGTACACAGATCTACATCACATACAGCAATTGTTAATGCTTACATAATCGATTAACGAAAAAGCCCTATTGAAATAAACTTTATCAAGTATACTTTCATACTTTAAAATACTTTTATTTAACAAAAATAATTCAAATAATTTCATCTGTCATGGAACTGATTCATGTTTTTCATAACAGATTATTAGGATACCTGGTAAATTTTAGTAGGAACTTTGAACAATACCAATCATTTTATTTTGAATTTAAAGTTATTTAATTTAAGTAACAAAATTTTAAAATATATGTTTGAAAATTTAAAATTTCTATCCAAATTGTAACGTAGTTGGTTTAACTAAATTACTTTAAAACGAAGTATTACAGTTCAACAAAATCTAATTTTATTATTTACTTTTTCAATAAAAAGTCTCATAGAAATAATAGTGTTATGATAAAATACAAATATGAATAATAGATGATATTATCAATATTATGAAATTTTCATAAAATTAATATATGTATACAGTATTGCATTAATTTTATACAGTACTGTACATTTACAAATTATTGATAGTGACTGTACAACAGATTCTCTTTCACACAAAATGAAAAATAAATAAGATGCAAACATGCATTCCATTTACGGTAAACATAAGTTTATACAAAATATGTATTTGCATTTCTTGTAATCCTATTAAATCTTATTTTCAAAGAAAGGAAAAAAATATATATATGTATAATATATTTCTATTATTAAGCTACATATATACATTAAATTAATGTAAACGTATCTACACAAAGTATATACAGTTATTACTCTTCAATATTTAAAATTTTTTAAGAACATCAATTAAATTTAACCTAAATTTATTCAATATTAAAAATGATTTATTTAAATAAATCATATAAATTATTTTAATAACTAATGTGATTACTAAAGTACAAATTTCATTTTTGTAATTAAACAAAAAAATTTGTAGAAAAGCAAAATATTCTCTTCAAATGTTGCTGCAATTAATCACTTTATATCTTCTTCACCTTTTACTAGTAACTTCTGAGGATAAAATCTGCAGTTTTCTGAAAATTAAAAAAAAAAAAAAACCATATTGTTAATAATTTGAATGTATTTAGATTACTATAATTGCATAAAGAATCATTTTATTTAATAAAATTCTGAATTTTTTTTACAGGTTACTAATAAGTTATCTAGACTTTTAAAAAATAAAATAATTCAAACTATTTTAACTTACCTGTTTTGTTTATTAATAAATATCTAAGGATTTTGTTATGGATTTTGTTTTGTTGCTTCATGCAATTATGATGATTAGCCAGGTAAGAGTTTGAACAAGAATGTCAGTCATAAGAAAAACATAGTAAAATAATTTCAGTTTTTATTAGCAATTGAGGACTATGCACCAATCAATTACTATTTAATAAAATGCTACAAGTAATAATTTAAAAATATTTAAAGGCTATCATAAGATTTGAAGTTTACAATTTTGAAAATAATAAAATATCCAATTTAAAGAATTTGTTTTCAATTTAAAATATTTTATCATAAATCATTACTTGTAGCATAATTTTCATTATTTTCATTTCTTAATTTGTGATGTTGATTGGCATTCCTCAAAATGATCAAGGAATTCAAGATGGAGATTCTTTGGAAATGTTTTCTTACAACCAGGACATTCTAATTCATTTTTGTCATCATCTGATAATGAACATTTGTTTACTTCATCTATTATAACAGGTTCCCATGAAGAAGGAGCAGATAAACTTTTTCTATGTCCACTTGGATTATCAGCCACTAAAGCAGCACTTGAAAAGTTTGTATACTGTTTAATTTCTCTCTCTCTCAAATTAAACTGAAAAGATTAATTTTATTATTATTATTATTTTTTAAAGTGATGTGTATTATTATAACAAATTAAATGAACATTTTACTTACTTCAAAATTATTAACTATGCCACTACTTGAAGGTGCTGAAGGTTTCAACTGCTGCCAAAATGTTTTTCCTAAAGTAGATCCTCCTCTAGAAGTTTCTTCTATCTGTTTTAATCTTTCTTTGCAATTAGAAAGCTGAAAAAATTTTTAAGAAAAAAATTGTTATATTTATTTTTTAAACGAATTAATAAAGAAAATGATATAAAATCAACAATGAAAATACATACTTCTACTTTTGTTTCATTCAATTCTTCATTTAAGTTATTTATTTTTTCTAGTGCAACCAATCTTTCCTGTTTCTCAGCTTCCCAATCTTCTTTATATGTCTTTATCTATTAAAAAGAAATTACTTTTAATTATACTTCTTATTTTGCTAAGAAATGTATTAAAACAATAAAATTTTATATGTACAAATTACAATTAACAATTATATATAATTTTCATTTATCTTACATAAATGCTTTTATAATTTTGTCAATAAAAAATTGGAATAAATTTTTTTGACAATATTTTAGTCTAATTTGAAAGTATCCATACAGAATTCTATAAATTTACTCTCTCCTCTGCCTAGGAATAATGATGACTAGTCTATTCAACAGTATTTGGGAAGAAAAATTTATTTTTTCTGTTAATGATAAACTTTTGCTGAAGCTAACCAGTTAAATATTTATCAACAAAGTTAAAATAAATGTTTGACAACTAAATAATTAATTAACAAAATAATTTAAAGAATTTTTCCATTAAGACAAACATTTTTCCATTATTTAGCTCTGATTAAAGTATCTAATTTGCAGGAGTTAATTATTTTTATGAAATGTTCTATCAAACTAGTAAGTAGTACAATAGCAAAACTCTGAAGACTAAGGACAAAGTCAAATTTAAAAATTATTTCATCTCTACATTATTAAAAAATTCAGAATTTTATTAATGTAGTGTTTTTATATAGTGTTATTTTAATAAAAGCTTATTTAATACTATAAAAGCATTCTTTCATTTTCTAACAGAAATAAAACTAAAAATACTCCGACTTTATAATGAAATGTTAATAATATTTCATAGTAAAGTTTTAACATATAATATTGCATTTTTAATTTATATACAGTATTTAAATTAGATATCTAAATTAAACATTGCATTGAAGAATTTCAATAATCAGATTGGTATGATTTTCAGATTAATTAATATTAATGTTTTCTAAATTCTAAAAAATGCTTATAATTATATGACAATGGAGGTTTTAACAGTGAGGAGTAGGAGAGGGAAGATATAATTGCTGATCAATAAAGTTGGTTACTGAAAATTAATTTTTGAATTCAAATTAGATTTGTTTGAGATCAGATTTGTAATCATGATATAATTTAAGGACAGTTTCTTAATATTTGACATTTCAAAAATTTTGATTAATATCAGAAATACAAAACATAAAAAATGCCATTTCCTTAAATAATATCCTGACTACTTTCCTGATCCAATTATTTAAGAGAGTACCTCTCTCTCTTATTCTCCTCTAGAGTTTGGGACCTCTTAAGTCATCATCTTAATGGAATGGTTAGATTGTCTTGTAAAATGGTGAAATAGAACTTTGTGGGATAACAGCACCTGCAATTCTAACATGAGGACTTCATCTTTCTTCTCATTTCTGGTTAATTCTAATTGCTGAATAATAGCTTCTTGAATCTGTCTAGATTCTTCTAATTGTTTCTTCAGGTGACATATTTCCTTAACTGCATTTTCATATCTCTGCTGTATGGCAGATTGTTCTCCTACATGTTCCAACTGTGAATCACTGTGTCGACATCCTGCTTTTAACTTCATATGCCTTCTTTCCTTTATTGGAACTTCATTATTGAATAGAAGATGTGAAACAGGTTGTTTATGTTGTTCATGAATAGCTTCTAGAAGACGCTGTAGATGATCTTGTCTTTCATGATTATATTTTTGCCATCTTTTGTTTACTTCAGTTACCTATTTGGATAGAAATTTAAAAAATATATGATCAAAATGTAATACTTAATAACTGAAATTAAACTTGTCTCATATATAAACTCACAAAAACCAATTAATAAAGTAAAAACAGATGTAAAACAAAATTAATAAAAGAGATAAAATCAAATGCATAAACATTGGAGATAAAAACAGATTTTTACATTGAAATATTTCATAATTCTTCTAGCAATTATACTTACATCTTTTAATAATTGTTTAAGTTTCAAATTTTCAGCACGAAGAACCAAAATCTTCTTATCTTCTTGTCCTGTTATACATTTAGAATGTGTTTCTTGATTTGATTCTTTAACTTCCTGTGAAAAGTTTTAATAATGATGCATGCATTAATGAATATTTTTTTAAAGTAAAAATTTAATTCATTAAACAATAAATAAATAAACTTAATGAATCATTTTCAAACTAAAGTCCTAAATATATACTTACATTTAGATGTATTTTGCGCAATTTGGAATTCTCAGTTTTTAATGCAAGAATTTCTTCTTCTAATTCTAACATTCGATGATGGATTTCTTCTGTACTTTGTTCACAAGGATCAGAAATACACTGGTTTAATAAAAATATTAAATTATAAATAAACTTCTCAATGCTACCTTATATATATCTATTAAAAATTAAAAAGACATTCCAATAAAAGGCTTTCTTTAATAATGAACAATTCATTTGTTAATGCAAACTAAAATCTGGTTGCACAATTATACTAAAAGTAACTGGTTGGAAATTTCACAACAATTTTATTCCCAAAATTTGTAAATTATCAAGAAATCTATTTTACAACTTAAACTGTGGTTGATAAGTTATACTGTATTTACTTTTTTTTACATATATGACTAATTCAGGGAAATTCCTATTAGTTAAAATGATAAATTTTAAGACAACAGGAAGCATTGTCAATTTAAGATGTGTTATAATTTCCTGTTTATATATATATATACATTATGTACTTTAGGACTGTACTTTTAACTTCAATTTATGTACTTTTAATATTAATTATCTGCTACATTGATAATTGAAATAAACTTTTTATTAAACAAATAACTTTTCGGTTTTAATACTTTAGTATTTAGATAATATCAAAATAGGCATAATACTTTTTCAAAAATTTTTATTACTATTTACAACATTTCATATTCAATATTTATGGCTATAATAGAATAAGTCAATTCTGAAATTATGACATGGTTTATATAAATATTTACATTAATTCAAATTTTTGATCAGTTGTTTTTGCAACAAAAACTGAACAATATCAGAATCTGTTTCATAAAATGCTTCAAGTAATACATATACTTTTGTCATTATATCATTATATATAGAAATATATAAACATTTAATAATAATGCCACAAATTATGCTATTCTGTATAAAGTAATGCATTTACAAATCTATTATTAAAAGTGTAATTCTACTTTCTTTAAAATATAAATTTTATGTTATATATTATAACATTGTCCACTGGGAATAATCCAATAAGCCATTATAGACTTGTTTTTGAATTTTATGCTGTAAACAAGATAGGCTGACCATAACATTTACAATCTAACAGTGGACACATTTCAGAATCAGTGAAAATGGAGTCTAAAACTGATTAAAGTTTAGTTATTTTTTTAAAAATTTATTTATTGATCTATAAATTAGTAATATTATATTGAAGTTTTAATAAAATTGATCTATTCAAAAATTGATCCTACAATGAAACATTACAAACAAGCAAAACCAGGCACAGTTCTTGAAAATTGGAAATGTCTGGACACCCTAAGACAGATTTTTTATCAAGCCCATTGTGAATTTGGTCAGGTTTGCAATGAATTGGCTGGTGGTGAGAGACTAGGCCCAACGTTTGTGGGATGCATTCCCACAAACGTTGGGCCCAAAAAGTTCCTAGGATTTTCTGACCAAACCAGATTCATTCCTGGATCCTCAGAGTGCCAAGTTGACACCTTAACTAACCTCTTGGTTATCTGGCTTAACGTTTTAAATTAGTAGATCATTGCTAATGATTATTTTAGAATATATTTTGTTGTTCACTTTTAAACTACATAACTAATGTTCAATAACTTATATTTTCTGTTCAAAATCATTGACAAATAGCAATATTTTGCATATCTTAACAAAAGTCATAGATGTCTTATTAATATTATGGCTCATATTCTTTTCAATGTTGTAGTACAGTATTTTATAGTGACAGGTAATATCATCAAACTCTAAAAATAAAAAAAAAAAGCACATTATAATAGCTTCATTCATCTTAATAATCTTTACTTATAACCATTAAACTTTTCAAAAAATAGAATGTATCAGCTACATCCCCTTAATTTAGTAATTATTGGTTGCTTGTGCTAATTACACATAAGTAAAAACAGATTATCTGTGTTTATGTTTATGCAAAACATTCATATGAAGTATCTAGCAACCAATGAATCAGGAAACAAAAATTCCAGATATATTTATGTAATGATGAGTGTGCAAATACCAGTTACAGAAATAACTCATTATCTAGAATTTTTTCTAGATTAATTGTTCTAAAACATGATAATTACAATGACTTGTAATTTACATTTGAACTGAATTTTAAAATAATTTTCTGTACTTATTTAAAGTACAGAAAACTTTAAATATTCTAGAAATTGCCTATTAACATTCATTTTCTAGATTAATTTTGTATGCATAATAAGAACTGTTATTATGCATATAGATTTATGTTTACTCTTTCTTTAAACATAAGATTATTAAACTTACTTTACGATTTCTTTTTGTAGCACTTTTTTTCATCAATTTTTCAGCCATAATAGTACATGTGGCGGCAGTAATTTGTAGATTTCTCCCTAATTCGGTCGAATCGCATCTATTATCATCAAACGTCCTCGATTGTACATTACAATCCTCATTAATTACTTGACTAGTATTCATTTCTGCACACATATGAACAAATAAAGACGATCAGCAACAACAGAAAACAAAATAATATCTAAAAATCAACGATGTAAATTACAGAAAACGTTCCAAAAACCTATCACATACACTTATATAACCTACATCACTTATCAATGACGTTTGGGTTTTCCCAGTCATGACGCTTGTTTTGTTTTCCTCCTATAGCCAATCAACGTTCTCCCTGTCTAGTGTCGTAATCCTGATTCATTGGATGACGGTCACGTGACATTTAAAAATGTACGAACTTCTTCAAATATTATTTTATATTCTTACTATTCACACCAGTAATATAAATTATTTTAAATATTAAAATATTAATTTGCAGAAAAAAAATTAATTGGTAAGTAATTATTACAAATTTATTTATTTATTTATTTTTAATTTAAAAATTTTAAAAAGTGTTTAAAAATTAGCTTCGATATTGCATATTATTAAAAAGAAAATAATAATAATAATAATTTGAATTTCTATTACGTAATAAATGAATTAAAACGATTAACCAATCGGCAGCAATTTTTTATTGAAGCGTTTTAGCTTATTAGAGTTTTATAACGTCATCTTATCTCCTATTGGCTAATTCAAATATTTCAATTCATTATCTAAATCTGTGGTTAATTTACAGTAATGTATCGAATTTCTTAATTAATTGTATATAAGATTAGTAAATTTGAATTTGAATCAATATCTTTGACACATTCGCACGTGACTGGTTTTCACATTTTCTAGTACACATCTTTTGCAATACTTACATATTTTTGGCAATGATTTTTTTAAAAGTATTATGAAAAGCTAATGATTTATATTTTAACTTAAGGCATTTCGAAATTTCGTATACTATTGAGCAAAGTCATCATAAAGAATAACTGTGTATCTGGAGATGGACCGTGTATCAAATTTCTAAACGGAAATTCACGAAAACTTCGTTCGAAGAAATAAATTAACAATAATTAAAATTAAATATTTCTTTAATAGAAAAAAAATTAATATTTCCGGGTTTTTGAATTTCGATTTTTTAAATTACATTTTTATGATTAAGCAAACTTATTTAACCATAAAAATCATCGCCATTTTTATCGATTCCAGTCATGTTTCATCTTAAAATTTAGTTTCATTTTTCTATTCTATTATGTAAATTTTCGAATTAAATTTTTAGTTTTTAATATATTAAAAGAGTTTTAATAATTATCAATAGTTTTTATGATGGATAAAAATAATTTTAAACAAATTTTATAATTTTAAACTGTAATGTTTTTTTCTTATTCATAAATTTTATAAATATCTGTGTTAATATTTTCTATTTGATCAAAACTTTAGTATTATTTTAGATATTAATTAATCAAATATTAATAAATTTAATAAAATAAAAAATAAAGATTAATTTTGTGCAGTTTCTGTCGCCATTTGTAACTTTCTGGAACTTTTTAAAGGACATTTGAATTCGTTAGCTGTTAATTATCACACCAATTAAAACATATTTAGCCTGTAAATTATATAAATGTAAAGTATAAGTTAGAATTTAGGTTATATTTATCATTTTCTAAAATAATNTAAGAGGCAAAAGGGATCAACTTTACTTCTGGGCCTCATACAAGCTCTCGACGCCCTGCCTAGGACTTAGCAAATTCTTCTTATAGCAAATTTTTATTTAAAAGTTCGTCCCAATTTGCGAATATTTTGATACTAGTTATATATTTATTAAATATTTTCGTAATTACTTTCGTTTTTATGATTGTTTGAGATGAAAATGATTCCTACACCGGTGATAATACTGACGGCGCATTTAGTACAGCCACAATAAGGTTTTATGTTACCTTTTAAATTTTATTTTCTTAAAAAATTTGATCTGTAAAGTTTTATTATTAAACTGAAAAAGTTTTCCTTTTATTACCTACATGACAAAATTATTAGTTTAGAAGACCTATAAATATATTTATTTCTTATTACGAAAGTGCTAATTTTTAAGTAATATAATGAAAATTAAATTAATTTATGTGAATAAAATAGGTTTTTTTAAAAATGAAAATTGTATATTAGAAATATATTCTTAAGTAAAAAAAGAAAAAAAAAAAGAAATAAAAGTGAAACTATAAAATACGTGAATACATTACTTCATAATCTTTAAATCTATAAAACAGAATTAACTTAGTCTACAATTAAATTTAAATATGTAACTACAGCATATGTTAATGTATTTAGTTAACTTTTTCATTATTTTAAGAAATATTTGGTTTGGGTTTTACAATATTTGAAGAACAAACAATTCTCTGTTTTTAACAGCTGCAAAAAATATCGTTTTAGATTAAAAGATAGATGGAAAATACCACTCCTGTCTTACTTATACTGTGGCTTAACCCAAATGAACCTAATTATACAAGTTTACCTAGGTTAAAGTTTGTTATATATAAGGGCGGTATTTTACTTTTACAAATTCATAAAAGGAAAAAAGTTTCAAAAATGATCTCATCAATCTAATGTAAATTGGTTATGCATAAAGTATGCGAATTAGGTGAGAACAGATGCCAGTAGCACGACTTTTAAAGAGGAAAATGATGTCAGGGTTATAGGAAAGCAAAAAGTAGGAGATAACGAGGGTGGAAACCTTTTCTTCTCGACAATCTTTTCAGAATATAATTTGTAAAAGATAGAATCGAATTTTGATTAAAAAGAAGTAGCTTCGCACGAATCTTCCAATTCCTTTTGTAGTCAAAAAGCACGTTCAAATAAACAATTTATTTTTATTTTTTAAAAGAAATTTAAAGTGAAAAACGAATGAAAGTATAAAAAAATAATAACTACACAATTTACAATTCAATTTAACTTACTATTACTAAATATGATAGATGATTTATAATTTATGCGCATCTTTCTTTAGAAACGGAATATTGAACAACAATACTTCATTTCTTTTCTAAAAAATAGGATTTTTTTAAAAAAATTCTTTATAAATCAAATAATATCATGATATAATTTTTACTTTACTTTTCGACATAACCTACTTATGTGTGTAAGCCTATATATAGATATAAATTGCCATAATAAGACTAAACTGAATTCTGGATAAAGCAAGGAAAAATTTCCAACATTAATTTATACCTGTTGCAATTATTCTAGTAATATAAAGTGTATATCGTCATATTTACTATTGATAAAAATTAAAGAAAGTTAATAACATATTTTTCTATATGTTTTCAATTTTATTATTTAATGAAGTCAAGATGTATTAATTATTAGTAATAACAGAGTACATAGTTTTTATTTTAGATAATAAAATCTAATTTAAATACATATCTTAGAATTGTATATAAGTTAATTAACAACAATAAATGCTATTTATAGATCAAAATATTGATTTTTTGCCCTATAAAGAGGGATTAATCTAGGTTTATAAATACAAAACAGAGTTGTGCAATATAGTAATGTTTATATGTAACTTTTATTTATTATATATTCATATATAAAAAAAGTTATTAAAACTGCTCATATATTTTATTAGAGTAAAGATTAAACTACGTTATCAATTCATTTAATTTAATAGTATGACTCATTGGACTGTCCCATTGTCACGAAGGAAATAATATTTCCTTTGGGATAAATGAGTAGTTCGTTATTGAAGCTCAAAAGCGATATACAGAAGTTTCTATCATTTGTTTTACTTTCCAAACTGAAATTCACGTATTAATGAAATCATATAAATACTAGTAATAATAATTATTATTTATTGCTATTTATAAGTGAAAAAATTAATAGTAAAATTAAACTTTATAAACGTCTGTTTAATAGAAATTGCACTTTTTATACATTTAATTTTTTATATTTAACATAATACTGTACATAAAGAATAATAAAACTGTAAAATGATATTTATAAAAATCTGGTAGCCTGAATTTCTAATAGGCAATCTAGTTTACTAGACATGTGTAAATATTATTTTGTAGGTTTTTATAAAAAATATAAAATAAGCATTAAAAATACCACACGTAACAAATCAGAATCATATTTTCGTCTATGAAGTGCGATTTAGTTACAGTCTGTCAATCATATAAGTTTAACTTCCAACAAACCGGAAATAATGCTACTTTTATTTCTCTCTCTTCGAAGATTTAATCGAGGATTACAACTACTTACAGCCAGAAACGACCATATACAGTATATATTTTGTATATAGGCGAAAAAAGCGACGTCCAGGACCACGCGCTTTCGAGGACCTCGCAAATTTGATAGCATCTTTTAGTATTTAAATCATAAAAATAGGTAATTATTGAAAATATAATTGTACTGGTGTCTGTTACATTTACAAAACGATCATTTTTAAACTTAAAATTGATAAAGAACTATCTCCAAACAACAACCTGTCCAAAGAGACTTTCTTCAGTTTCCATCTTGTCCATTGAAGGAGATATTGCTGCAGAATTTGCTTTATTTTTTTTAAATAATTAATTAATTTAGCGCTTCTGAAAGCAAGAAAACAGTTTTGTAGGTGAATTTCTGTAGACGTATTAAATTTACTAATTCATTGTATAAGTATTATACTATACAGTAAATACTTTATTACAGTACTTTCTTTTGTGTTTTACTTTTTGTTTCTATATTAAAAATGTTCATACAGTATTATTGTATACTTCCATCTACAATAATATCTATTACAATAAATCTACCGCTCTTTTAGTGAGTCTCAAAACAGAAAATAAAATCTTTAAGACTGTTTTTCATCAATAAAGAAACATTCTACGAGTTTCATTTGTTCAAAATATAAAATGCTAAAGGGGTTCTCTAAGAGGCAAATGGGATCAACTTTACTTCTGGGCCTCATACAAGCTCTCGACGCCCTGCCTAGGACTTAGCAAATTCTTCTTATAGCAAATTTTTATTTAAAAGTTCGTCCCAATTTGCGAATATTTTGATACTAGTTATATATTTATTAAATATTTTCGTACGATATTTTCATGTTTATAGTTGTTTGATATGCAAATGATTTCTATTTTGAATGATTATAATGACAACAGCATATCCAGTTCCATTAGAGCACAGTTCTATTTTGTCTTTAAAAATTTACTTTAATTTTTTTTGGAGTAACTTTTTTAATTAAAGTTTTTAATTCTACAGTTTTTTATCC